TCTGCCGGACGGCAACGATCTGTCGAAGCGACGAGTGGTGATCGCGACGGCGCGGTGCTATCTACGCGCGAACGATTATCGCGCTCGTTTTCCTCTCTACGACGTGACGACTTCCGAGCGGCGTGACACGCGAACGTATAGCGACAATGTAAACACGTTCGCGTCGATGACGAACGTCAGAGAGCTTTTTCGCGTTTTCTTCACTTCCCCGCGATGGACATCTGTTTGCGTGGCGATACCGCCGGGCGGTGATAATGCTTTCCGGTTTCGATTTCAGTATTTTCGGCTCGGGAAGAGAGAATGTCTCGTGTATCAAGATATGTCTCACACACACACACACACACACACACACACACATGTAGATATTATAAATTTATATATACAGAAAAATACACATACTGCATTCGAGTAAATATTACTTGTTTCAAGTATTTCATGTGCCTGCTAATATAAGTTCAATTATAAGCGTTAAATTTATTCCAAAAATATATTTGAATCATAAACTTCCAATATTCCAATATTCACTGTCAGTGTTGGAACTCTATGGTGTACGTAACATAAACTACAGATTTTCAGCGCTGACTGTGAATTTTGGAACACGGTCCTAGTACATGTATAAGTTTAGTGCTTTAATCAAGAGTATTAAATTAAATTAAATTAAACTTCGATTGGTGTGCTTATTCAAATTAGCCGAATTTAACTTTTTCCGACAAAGTTTACAATATTCTTGAAAAGAAAGTAATAGTAATAAGTAATAATCTTCTTTTGAATAAGTGATGATGAGCTTTTCCAACATTTGCAATGAATATATCTTAAAACTTTATTATCAAAAATAATATTTTTTATCGAAGATAACTGTTACTTAAAAAAAAAGGGGGGGGGAGGGGAGTGAATTAACCAATCGCTTTTCTCAGCAGTAGAATATTATTTTTCTCCGTATACAGATATATTCGTATGCTTTTCTATACCGTTCTTTCTCCTTCGCATCGTCTGACATCGTCTTGTTTTACGTTGAAAGCAATTTTACGGTACGTCAATTCCATTATATTCATGTAAATCGTTCTACGTTTTATTTCCGTTAATATATCAAGCCAAACAGAACGTTTACTTGATAAAAGCAAGGTAAAGACGAACTTCTCGGGTTTCTTCGGGGGTCTTCCTAAGCGTCGGTTACGCCACTGATCACAAACGGCGTGACGAGGCGCAGAAATACGCGATGCGGAAACCTCGTCGCGATCGAACGCACTTCCGGTGCGTTCTCCGTCCTTCGATCCCCGCGGATCCCCGCGTCGGGGAATCGCGAACAGCGTCGTGGTTGCGATTTTTCCTGTCGCCGCTTCCGCCGCGCGATTCTCGAAGCGATCAACCTCGTCGCCGCCGCCCTTCTTCGTCACGCCGGAAGAAAAGAACGTCGCGAGAAACACACGGAGCGGAACCGCAGATTCCGGTATGTCTTTCTGTGTTACCTTTCTTGTACCGAGGGAAGTTCAGGAACGTACCTCGCATGACTGTCGCCTCTCGCTGGTACACTCTGATCCGGCCGAAATTGTCCGTCGACACGAATCTTTTTATCCAAATGAGAGTGACTTGGAATTTTCACGCAGACCTGTTGCTATTTGATTCGCTGAGTCGATGACGTCACAGTTCCTTCGTATCCGGAAATAAAATCATCGAATTTGAGGATGTCATGTTTCAATTTTTCCAAGAATTTTCTGCTCTGCACAGGATTATGATCGACGTTGAATAATTTCGCAGTTATAAATCTAATAAAGAGCTGAAGAAATCGTCCGATCAGGCTCGAACTTCCTCGCGAGACACTCGATCCCGTCCGTGGTATTCGATGAAAAATGAGAGACCAGTGTCACGAGGCGGACGCGACGTAAATTTACGCGGAGGCGACGTTCGTCTCTCTCTCTTTCGACGTCGCCTCAAGTAGCCGCTTTAATTAGCCGCGCGGCAAAAAATCGCCGGCCGAAAGGAGCACCTGTGAGTAAGGCCACTCGCGTACTCGGCATTTAAGGGAGTGGGGAGGAGACCGAGGAGACGAGGATTTCCTGGTGCGAGACAACGGCACATCGACCTTCGCATGCCCGAGGTTCCTACCTTCTTCCCTCGAGGCATTTCTCTCTCTCTCTCTCTCTCTCTCTCTCTCTCTCGTCGAGTGAGCACCGCGTCGCATTGTGCCGCCGTGAGCTTCCTCCGATTATTTTTCAAAGTGTCACGAAGAATTCCTGCTGGAAATATGCCGGAACCTCGCCAGATCGCGAACGAAAAAGAGCCGAATGGCGAACCGGTTCTATTCTCGGAGAAATCTCGAATCAGCGCTGCTTCTCCTTATCGAAGATTTAATTAAACCGCCCATTACCCGCGGTCTTTTCTTTGTAATTTTTGACTGCTGCTGTTAATTCATACCGGCGGAATTCATTGAAATGCGATCCAATGAGAAATATATTCGTGCACGGAGAAAAGGTGCTAGTTTCAAATAAATAATTACTCCAATACTCCTTAGCAGATTTTTACTTGAATTAAGTAAATTTTACTTGGATAATTTACTTGAAAAACATTTTGCTTAAATAAATATTACTTGATCCGAGTAAAAATTTGCTGAGAAATATTGGAATAATTATTTACTTGAATGTAGCATTTTTTTTCTGTGTGGATGTGCAACGTTTCTTTTATTTTTTTCTAAATCCCATTGAGTAAAGTCGCCTCGAAATATTGAAATATTTTCACGATAACACGTTGAATAATTGATAACAATGATTATGTACAATTATGATAACAATAATTATGTACAACGTATTTCGACACGACGATGCCCGTAATTCACAGTGGCAGTTTTATACGCACTTTTATACGATCGTGTATGCATTCCGCACGCTGCGACGTATCGGACGCTTGATTTCCAGTTAGAAGTTGCTTATTATGAGGCGCATTAAAGTAGACCGTAATTATGGGTTCAATGTTTATCACAGTGTCACCCAGTGCCGCAACCAACGCGCAAGAAATTAACGTAACATGTCGCCATGTTAAGCGCATCCGCGGTAGTCCGTGAATATAATTACATTTAATCGAGTATAAGGTTTATAAACCTACGATTACCATATAGATAGTGTAATTACTGGGAAGTCAGGCATTTTATATTACCGACGCGATTCCATTTCTTTTTTATTTAGCCGACGTAACGCGCTACGTAAACGCTATTGCAGAGCGTTCCGCGGTAAACACAATGACACGACAGGAAACATAATGGACGCGAACGTAACAAAAATGAATGCAATTTATTCATATGATAAAAAGAATAATAAAAATATTAAAGATGGAAATATCATCAAGAGGTGCTCGTGAAGATGGATGTTTTCTTTTTTAGAAAAGAGTCCAGGACGAGACACGTTTGTTGAAATTTTGTTGATGCGAAATCGCGTTGATTGCTTCCGTTTTTTATTTACAAAATATACACACGACATTTATTTATTTCAAGATACAATCAATCGCAATTGTGTATACGCCAATTCGTTCGATGATCCGCCATCTCTCCGATCCTTGGTGTCCTTGGAAATTCCAGGATCCCTGAGCGAAAAAACGGAAGCGAACTTTGCATCGACCCAAGAATTGTTCATCGCTGAGAAAATCACTCGTGCCTTTTTTAGAGCGGAATATTCTAGGATAGCCCGTGCGATATCAGGACGTTCCGCGCTGGCGAATTCCGATGAGATCGGGTCTCCTGACACGGGGTGTGTGAGCGTGACTCGTTCCTCGCGGTCGAAAACTGGGAATTTGGACGTTGACCATCGAGCGCCGCGCGCGGTGAGGAGGTTCCCGCCGAGCCCTGTTCGCGAGTCCCCGGAACGGATGGCTCCGTCGACATCGATGGAAATACGTTATGTAAATCCGCGTTTCCTGCCGGCTTTCATTCTTATGCCCCCACATTCTATGCTAATAGTCGATGAACGTCTGCGAACCGGTCGTCGCGCGAGAGAGCAAGGGAGACGAGGGAGGACGGACACGCGCCGCCGCGATGCGCTCTCCTCTCCTTTGCGAAGTCGCGAACACCCGACCTCGCTCGCTCGCTTGTCCGCAGTAGGAAAATCGCGCGAACCGACGTGTAACTGTAATCCACCGTCTATTACTTGCCGTCATTCTACGTCGGCGAATGATTGTTAATTAGGCGAGCTAAATGAAGTTAATTTCAGTCTGATAAAAAGAGGATAACATGGAACAAGGGAAGAAAAAAGGAGAGAGAGAGAGAGAGAGAGAGAGAGAGATACGTCGATGACGTAACTGTCATATAGTGATTACGTATCGCGGGTTGGAGACAAATCCGTGACTTAGGTCGGGAAAGTGCCCGAGGTCCTGGGAATTTCAGGAATAATTCGTGGATCACGTCGGAAACGATCCACAGGGGGCTGTAAAATCTGCGAGATGATTGGAATTGAACTATTAAATAATATTTACTACACACGATCGTCGATAAGCTCGTCGGTGTTTGATTTTCGCTCCGTTCACAGTTCACAGTTTGGATTCCGTTTCTTATACTCGGCTTGGAAATCTATCTTACAAACTGTCACGCTCGCTTTCCGCCCAGTCAGCCAAGATTCAAACCGTTATTCACACGTTCCTGCGCTCGAGTGTGCTATGTTCGGTCACGATTCAATTTTCACGCAATTACAGTGATTCCCCGTGTTTAATTCTCGCGTGCGGACTCGCGTCCGTTATTTATCGTTGATTATTTATTCGCTTCAATCCCACCCTCCCTTTGTCATTGGACTTTGCGCTCGGTTCCCAGGCTGATTCGCGCGCCATGCGATCATGGTGCGTGTGTTAGTTTATCCACGTGTTATGCGGTATTACGTAACGAAGACGCGAGAGCGAAATATGTATTAAAGGAGTGCGCACACACACACACACACACACGCGCGCGTGTGTGTTACGGCATTACGCGAGCTTTCCGAATCGAAGCGATCGATAATAAACCCGACCGCCTGTTTCTTCTTTTGCAGACACAAGACGCCACGGAGGCGTGATATGAAATTGGTGCCAACGATTCAGCTACCACAGCTACCACCGGTTTCCGCCGCGGGCGGAATAACCGGAATGGATTCCCGGTTGCCTTCGAACATACCGCTGCCTTTCAGTACGGACTTCCTCTGGCGGGCCCAGTACGGAGCCCCGATAAACTTTCCGCACACCACGCACCCGCCGCCCAGTGCCCTCTTGGACTTTAAGACTCATCTGCCCGGGAATCTTGGTAAGCGTTATCGCATTAACGGCGCTTTCTCCTTGCGAGCTCGTGTTAAATTAGTATACCGCTGTGTCGCGCTGGATTACTTCCGCTGTCTCGCAGAGAAAAGATCTCCGCGTGGTAGTGTTTCAACGTTTGCGTCGAGAAGTCGAGAAACATCTTCGTAAGCGTTCAGCGTTCCCTTCGCGGATTGCTGAAATTTGGTGTTACTTGAACACGGGGNGAACACGGGGGGGGGGGGGTGTACGTGATTGAAAGGTACACAAATGTGCGCCACATGTGGTGACAAGGTGAATGTGTCGATTTAACGTTATACTCGTGTGCTTTTTAACACGCTCCCCGTATTGAAGTGTACCAAAGTAACACGAAATCTCAGTGGATCGTTTCCGAGGGGAAATTGTTCGATTGCGCGCGGTGCCCGAGTCACCGAGCGACTTATTCACGATCGAACACCTTCAATACCTTCCGGGGAGTACGTATCGAACGTAATCCGTATCGATGCTAATAACGGTGGGCCTTCGCCGGGCGAAGGAGCGCGAGCTCCACTCGAGACGCTTCGACGACGTCAGACTATATTCAGACGCCTTGCACGTGTACTTTCGTCTTTCAGCGTCCGATCCCAGACTGTGGTCGCGAGAGGATGTGGCGGCGTTCCTGCAGTGGGCCGAGAGGGAATTCGATCTGCCGACGATCGACATGGAAGGATTTCAGATGAACGGCAAGGCCCTGTGTCTGCTAACAAAGGCCGACCTCGGGGACAGATGTCCAAGCGCCGGCGACGTTCTGCACAACGTGCTGAACATGCTGGTGCGCGACTTCAGCCAACTGCAGAGATGCATGCCGCACAGCCCGGTCACGCCGACCAGGCCGACCGCGTATCCCCTGAGCCCGCATTCTCACCCGCCCACGCCTACCTGGACGGAGTCCCCGTACGCGCAGAATCTTGCCTCTCTCATGTCGGCCAACTCGGTAACGTTGTCGCCGGCACCATCTGTGGACAGTCAAGCAGGCTCGCCCGGTCACGCGGACGGCAACCAGACGCAGGTCTATAAGAGCGACTCGGACGAGGACAATCAGCAAGTGAACGGCAACAGCAGCCCGCCGGCGACACCGACCGCCCTCACGGTACAGAGACTCAGCGAGGTTAGCGTGAAGGACCAGCCGAGCCCGACGTTACCACCGCAGTTGATGCCGCTGACACCCGGTGCCTTCCGCTCGACGGCGAGCACCGCCGCCAGAGAGTTCTTCCCCGGCGACTCCACTGAGCCCAACACCAGTTAGTATATGATTAATCGAGTTACGTCGCGCGCGCCGATCGCGGGCAAATCGCGGGATTCGTGGACCAGGGAGGTTTCCATTGTTCGAAAGTGAGTCGAGAGGCGGTTCTCCCGAGTGTCCTTTAGATTCCTACTTCGTGTTCCGCTCTCTTCGCTTAACGGGAATCTGTTGTAGCGACCGAGTACAGCGCGGTAGCCGAGGTGTTAAGATCTAAGTGGTTCTTTCCGTTGTTCCTTTCAGACGGCAGATTACTCTGGGACTTCCTTCAACAGTTACTGAACGAGCCGTCGCAACGGTATACGCATTACATCGCGTGGAAGAATCGGGAGACCGGTGTGTTCAAGATCGTCGATCCGCCGGGTCTGGCGCGGCTCTGGGGCATCCAGAAGAATCATCTCTCCATGAATTACGACAAAATGAGTAGAGCCCTGCGTTATTATTATCGTGTGAATATACTTCGGAAAGTCCAGGGTGAACGCCACTGCTATCAGTGAGTATCATTGTCTCGCGAGTAATTAGCGTTCGGTCGCTGTAAGAAAAATTACAACGGAGTCGACCGACAGTGACGGCGTGGTGATTTCTTAACTTCGACTTCCTTTTAACAAATTATAACAATATTAAGGTTTAGATTCACGGTTACTGTTACGCCAACGACTCTTTTCGAACAAATATAAAACTAAGAGCTTATAGGCACGTAGAAATTCGTTTCGTTATCAAGAGAGAGAAAGAGAGAGGGATTCCATAGATCGCTTTTGTGCTCTTTGCAGATTCCTGCGCAACACGGTCGAACTGAAGAACATCAAGAACATATCGGCGCTGCGTCAACACACGAGAATAAAATCGGAACCAGAGCCGGAGGAGGAGGGGGCCTTCACCAATATCGAGTCGGAAGTGGACATGCCTACGGATCTCTCGATGTCCAGCATGAGCCAGCCGTCGAGCGAACAGCCCCTTCCGCTGCACGACCCACCTGCCAAGTACAGATCAAGTCACGCGTACAACCTCGTTAGGACCAATCAGGAGCCGGAAGAGAGGAAGTGACGCGGGACCTAGCGATGACAGGAACGCAGTGATCGTGCGTAATCGTTAATCGCCGTGGGCGTAGGAGTCGGCGGCAAGGCGACCTTTTGATGAAAGAGGGTCTCGTATCGGCAACCGACTAACGGACCGACCGACCGGACCGAGTGTCTCCGACTGGTTCGTTGTTCGTTGACGAAAAGGCGGTATCATCCGCAATAATCGCAAAAGGCTGTCGAACGGCACGCGCGCACGAGAGAGAGAGAGAGAGAGCAGGTGCTAAGTGAGAAAAGGAGTTTATTGACAACAAGAGGGAATGAAGTGGTAATCAGAAGACAGTAAAATCACGATGTTACGATGATACATAACCTTGCTCACGCAATCGCTACTAATTCGGACCTTTAAAAGGCAACGGTTTGCACGAGACGTGACAGAAGACTGTTACAATCACCATCCCTAGATATGTCACGAGACTCTCTGATAGTAATCGTCAAGGCAGACAGGAACGAGTAAGCGTTAAAATTCACGGAATCACATTGACGCTCCAAAGATAATCCCCGAAGGACCAGGGAATCGCATTCCTCCACTGCCTTGTCTGTCGGAGATTCCACCGAGTTGCTGCGATCACACCACACACACACACACACACACACATATACCTATACACCGAGGATCCTTACACTTTCGTCGATACGTGTAAGAGAGTGATAAGAAGCGAGAAGAGAGGAGAACGCGTTTTACCAATCACCTCACGACGCAGATTGGATAACGATTCGCCCGTCCGCACACACGGACATTCGCGTTGAGTCGTTTGCGCGCCGATAACGATAAGACGCTTCGATGAAGCTGGATCTTCGCGGATATTCCGCCCGCCACCCCTTCCCGCCCCGCCCGCGGGCCCAGCTGTGCGAATTGTTGGGCAAATTCATTTCCGTTTCTACAACGATGTAATGGAATACATATGAGGATTTAGGTGCACTTAAGGACACGCCGATTAATTCAATGTACAAAGAATGCAATGCCAGAGGGAAAACTGTTACCAGGTCTTTCCTTTCTTTCCGCGCCCTTATTCTGTTTTTCTTTTTGTTTTTAATTTTAAGTACGTGTTAACGAATGAAATAATCAGTGTTCTGTGATGTGACTTTGTATTTCGGCGAAACGCAATCCTTGACCAAGATCAATTCCAAAGAGAGAAAGAGAGAGAAAGAAAGAAAGAGGGGTTTACTCGATTTCATTTCAACGCATCACAGAGGAATTATATGTCTGGGAAGCTGTCGGGGTACAAAGAGTTCGATAAGATCTGTTCGTGAAAGTTGAATGAAATTATTATGTATCGCTCGTAAAAACGAAATCCGGTAGAAAAGTTCAACTAGATCTTCTCGAGCTTTTTCTGTATGCGCTAAAACGTTTCTCCGTTATTTTGACGTATTTGTGCCAAGAATATTTGCTGCTTACTAAGAGAACGATGTATGATGTAGGGTATTTTAGTCGACTGTTCCAAAAAACTCGTAGGTATATCACGATTTTGGAACCGAGTGTTGTATCGCTCGCGCTCGCGATGCGACGAAAAAAATACATAATATGAAGGTATTCTGAATATAATATATATTCAGAAATATACGCGTTCTGTGTAATCGAATATGTATGTTGTAGGAAATGTAAATAATGCAATTCATAAATATGGTACACACGAACGAAGCTTATAAGGCAACATTTACCCTAAGAGTAGTGAAAGAATTTTATGGAAATTCGGGGCCAGAGTTATATATAAATTTATCTCTATAGAAAAAAAAAAAATATATATATATATTTTACTACCAAAATTTATATTCGAAATTTCTATGTTTGTTGCTGGTGCGATTGTGGCTTACATTCCACGAATTTATCCGGTGATTGCCTGCGAAACATAACACGAGGCGAGGTGAAAAAGAAGCGAGGAAGGAAGATGCAGATTTTAAGCAAATTACTAATCGTATTTTTGCACTTGAGAATACAAAACTGAGAAAGTATGAGAGAATGGCGGTATGAGTGCGAAAGAGTGAGTGAAGACAGAGAGTGGGGGGGGGGGGGGGGGCAAAGGGGGG